ATGAAGCCCTCTGGTGTTGGGAACTTCCTCTTTATCAATAATGTCCAAATGTCTGGACTCTGACCTCTCCCTGACCTCTGGGTCCATGGCCTACAACTGACTGAGGTCTCCTGGCCCAAACCTCTCTGCCTACCTTAGGCCTCCCCAATCATAGCAAATGGCCTTGCTTTCTACCCAGCTGCCCGAGCCATAACTCCAAGTGTCAGTGACTCCTCACTCACCTCCTGCTCCAAGACCACATAACCGACAAGACCCCTTGAGGCCTTCGTTTAACTTAGTTCACTCCTATTTCATGACCACCCCTCCTGGCCGTTCATTCTCTGTGTGCATCTTGGATGGTGCTCTTAACACTGTGCCTAGAAATCCGAGCCTTGTCCTCCCTGTCCTCTACTCAAAGTGACCACCATATGTGAGGTCTGAACACAGGGGGCTTCAAGATGGGACATACATGGTGGGCCTTTCTGGAAGTTTTGCCGTGTGGACAAAGAGTCCACACATGGTTGGGAGTTAACTACCCTCAGACCCTACCAGATCAGTCAGGACTCACCAGCACCAGGGTCTGCGGACATTTGACGAGCAGGACCATAATGGGGTTTGGCCTGAACAGCCTGGCCTTTTGGAGGTGTACCTCTGGGGACCTAGGCACAGGAGATGTAGAAGGGGTCGACCTGGAGCTGCTACCACAAAGGCCAGAGATGTTGCTTTATGTGCCTGGTGTGGCCTGGAATGACCTGAACCCCCTCCCAGAGATAGACGAGCCACTCATGGTACTGTCCTTGCTCTGGGGTCTCCCAAATCTGGCTGGAGGCTGGTCTCTCTACCTCACCATATCTGTCCAGAAAGGTGCTATTTGGGGCAAGTGGCAACTGTCCCTGAAAACATCAGCAAGGCTAGTCCTCTGCCCAGTTTGGGCTTCAGATACCTCCCCAAGTGATGGGGAGAGGAGAGGAAGGGTTGAAGCACTGCATATCCCTGGGAGAATCCCCCACAAAGTTTTCTGGGGCAGGTAAGTTTCCTCTGTGAGGCAACGATAATTACACCCATTATACAGAAGAGGAAGCAGAGGCTCAGGGAGGAGGAACTTTCTTGGGCTACCCAGGGGTCAGTGGCAGAAAGCCCAAGACTGAGACATAAAGAAGCCTAGGTGGCAGGCTCGGCTGGGGAAATTCTGCTTTTGGCCCTCAGGGCTTCCCTGGGATAGTCACAAGCCACTTTAGCTTTCCTGCCAACACCTGGAGAAGTCTCCCTTTCCAACTGTCCTGAGGGGGATGTCCCTTTGCTGTTCTAGCCAGGTGACCAGTATTTCCTGGTTTTCTGATCCCTGAGATAGTAGAAAACATTAGGGGAGCAGGGATGAGTATGGGTTCAAATCCAGTCTCTGTCATCATTGACTATTTGGGCCACCAGTACAAGGACCTCCACCAAAGGGAAGGTGACTTCAGCTGAGATGTCCATGCAGAGGTCCCACGAGATGTGAGGCACTCAGAGGCCAATTTCCTTCCCCTTGTGATAACTGTCTGGGGTGGCCACAAGCCTATTTCCTCCAGTCTGTGGGAAGGACACTCAGAGGAAACTCCTTCCAGAGAGTTTTCTCCTGACCCTGTGGAAGGAACCTAAAGAGGAGTCACACCGTCCATCACAGTCCTGCCCCTGCCCTCCCACAGTCCCCCTGGGGCCCCTGAGTCAGGGAACTGACTAGACACTATCACTGCCACTTTCCATGCGTGCAATCTAGGAATGCGTGCCCATGTCATGGCCTCAGCCCTGATGTCATCTTTCCAGAAGAAAGATGTACGCCTGCCCATGAACCTTATCACCAAACTCACAGAAAAGACCTCTGTCCTTTGTGTGCTGACTTCGATGCCCACAGAGCATGCTGTTGGCATGGACCTCTCCTTGTGGCCCCTGCCTTATCTCCTTTCCTGCTCTCCCAGGGCCTGGGCCACTGGCCAGACTTCTGCCCAGCTATCATGCCCCTGACTCTTAAATACCACTGTTCTGGCTCTCAGCCCTTCTTCTTGAATAACCCTCTGTGGCCTTACCGATCACATGGACATGGACCGCCCCAGGTCTGTCCCTGCACATATAGCCTCAGAATTGCCAAACCTTTCCATGGGCCCATAGACCCTGCAGACCTGCTCCTTTGTCCCCTGGGTCCCCACCTTAGACACCTGGAGAATAGTTCTAACTCTTCTTACTGACATCCAAAAGCACCCTTTGGGGAAGGGAGTGAGTAGGTTAATCTTGTTTCTCCATCCATAGCACTACGAAGTCCATAAAGGCAGAACCCTGTCTGTTTTTCATCATCCTTGTATCACCCTTGCCTGCTGGGACCAAGTAGATGCTCAATAAATATTGAATGAATCAGTCCATTACATCACCAATTCTTCCCAAGATTCTACCTCCTAAATCTCTCTGGAACCTGCTTCCTCTTCACCATACCTGCTCTTCAAACCCTCTGCCTTTGTGCACTCTAAGTGCTTTCCCCCATCCCACCTTGCCCCTCCCTCCAAAACCTGACTCGCCCAACTACTCTACTTGTCCTTTCAGGGTGTACGGGAAGGCAGCATCTCCCGGGTCTCTGGTCTCCTTGAACTCCCAAGCTGGGAGAAGTGATTCCTTGGAATTCCTCAGCACTGAACTTCCCCCATCCCAGCCTGGAACACACAGTGGGAGTGTCTACAGCTGTCTGTTGCCCCAGCAGACTGAGAATCTCCAGGACCAGATGTGAGGGTCAGTGGGAAAGTCCCATCTACCTTCTCTCCAGCACAGGGCCTGGTGCAGACTGGAGAATTTTGTTGACTAACTGTCAACTCATTTCCTGGAGAAAAGTGACCATCTCAGAGGGCCCACACCAGCTCTCTGCCTCTCTGGCACTAGTTTAGTTGCTGACTATGACTTCCACTTCCCACCACCCAGCCTCCAAGGCTGTCTGACACAGACCTCCACTCTGTGTGGCATCGAGCATCCCTGATCTCCTTTTGCCCTCTGAGAGCTCCCTGTAAGGGACGGAGCAGAAGCCTCATAGAAAAGGTGGAGGAAGGGCCAAGGCCCGGACATGCCATACTCTCACCCCCAGCCTGCCCCTCTAGGAACGTTCCACCAGGTTCAGAAGAGCAGGATGGCTTTATGGTGGGCCTCAGCTGTGCAGTGAAACTTTTCAGGTCCTGCAGCCCCAGTACTCAGTTCAGAGTTCTACCTACTCTCGAGGGCTGTCCATTTGAGCCCAACAGATATCCTGGCTTTTGTCCTACCCCATCAGTCTAGGCTGAATCAGCCTCTGGGACCCAGAAACATAGCACCCAATGTGGAGGGCTTCTCTCATATCAGAGTGGCACCTGCAGAGGCATGGGGGCTCACACAAATGACCTCATGTAAAATGCATCCCCACAATACACCTGTAAGTACAGACACATCCAACCACACAGGCACACCGACACTCGGAAAGGATCCATACCCCTGCAGCCATGAAGCTCACAGCATGGGGTGGCAAACACAAACATGTGCTGTCTGAGGTGGTGGGGAGATGGATGAAAAAGGTGAAAGAGAATAAGAGGTATATAAACTCCCAGTTACAAAATAAATAAGTCCCAGGGATGTAATGTACAGCATAAGGAATATAGTTAATAGTATCCTAATACCTTTGTATGGTGTCAGATGATTACTAGACTTAGTGTGGTGATCATATCATATGGTATATAAGTGTCAAATCACTATGTTGTACACCTGAAAGTGACATAATATTATATGCCAACTATCTTTAATAAAAAAAAAATTTAAAAACAAACAAAAAAACCCAACCTCGTGCTGTCCTCTCCAAACTCCATTGTGAAAATCAAACACTTGTCAGACCCTCAAGAGCCTGTGGCTTTCCCAGAAGCAGTTCCTGTTCCACAGAGAGGCCTCTGGAGCTGAAAGTAGGCACGGGCAGGGGACATGTGGGAAATTAAGCCTGGAAGACCTTGTTAGAGAGGACATTGTCCCCTGTACCTGGTGTGGATCCAGCCACGACCCCGCAACAAGCCCCTGAAGCTCCTGGCACCTGCCAGGGACTGTAGGTAGGAGTGCAGTACCCACCTTGGGGAGGCAATCTGCCCTGCAGCGGGGGGTGAGGCTCAGAGGGAAGAGTCACTCAGCTAGGTGGTGCTGGAGCCAGGATTCACACTCAGAGTTCTGACCCACCCCAGCTGAGAGTCTCAACTCACCTCTGCAGTGTGGGGGGTTGAATATGGCTGCGTAAACTAGGATTGGCTGTCAGATGGGATCTCACAGTGAAGGAATACTCTGCAATCTTGCTGGCTGAACAGACACATGGTTGTCATTCCCTCTGCTCACAGGGGCTGTAAGGAAGAGGTCCCTGGTTGAGCAGAGCTTGCTGACTGCTCTGGGTTCTAGGCTGGCGCCACGGTGAGCTATAAAGGACTGTGCCATTTGGCTGGAATCTGCCTAGGCGGACAGTGAGGCAGGCCTGTGAGAGTCCTCCTCACACTCAGTTCTCTCACTGGCCAGAGGCGCCGGCTCTAGAAGGGAAGGCTGGGATTGGAATGGGCCCCAGGGTGGGCACAGCCAGCCTAAAGCCCTCTTGGGGTAACAGGCAGGATGGAGAGCCTGGGAGTAGGCGCTTGGTTGAGTGTCTCCCAGGCCCTGCCCTGGCCACTCCAGGCCAAGAAGTCCAAACTGTGCCCAGAGGCCCCTCAGAGGGATGTGGCAGCTTCAGCAGGCTATCAGACTGCCTAGGGAGGGCTGGAGAGCAGACTCAGGAGGCGGGTGGGTGGGCTGCTGATTCTTGGAAGGGCTCATTAATGAAAACCCCCTATGGTGACCACCTGGGGGAAAGGCTCACCTTTCCCATGTGTAGCTGATAAGGGCCAGGAGATTCCACAGTTCAGGTAGTTCCCCCACCCTCCTGGTGTTTTGTGGTCACCATTAATCATTTCCTCTAACTGTGTATATAAAAGCTCTTTTGCCAGTGAGCCCAGTGCTCAGAGAGAAAGGCTAAAGTCTTCAGGAGGATGTGGCTACAGAACCTGCTTCTCCTGGGCACTGTGGTCTGCAGCATCTCCGCACCCACCCGTCCACCCAGCCCTGTTACCCGGCCCTTTCAACATGTGGATGCCATCAAGGAGGCCCTGAGCATTCTGAACCACAGTAATGACACCGCTGATATGATGGTGAGTGAGAGAGGGAGTGCAGGTCATGCCTTGGCCACCTTGCTGGTCCACCTCGCGGGTCCGGACTAGCCCTGCCTGGCAGCTCGATAACACCACCTTTTCCTTTTCTATAGAATGAAACTGTAGAAGTCGTCTCTGAAATCTTTGACCCCCAGGTAAGATGCTTGTCTCTGCCTTGGGGATGGCTCCACTTTAGATGATCCTCATAGGGCTATGAACTCTCTCTCCATTCAGCTGGCTGCCAAGAGGAGGTATGCTCAGAAGGCCCCTGGCCTTTGCCCTTGTGGCAGTCACATGAGCTCCTTTATTATCTGAGTAGCCACAGACAGACATAGCATTCAAGGGGCCAAGGGTCACCAGGGGACAGGTGGGTAAGCAGTGATTAGTTTATGAGACAGGGGCTGTGGGCCTGGCACACTCACTATGCCCTGAGACCAAGCCCTGTGGAGACAGGGTGATGGCTACAGAGGGGCACAGAGGGGTTTTAGAAACAAGCCTTGCTTATTCACACAGCATGTCTGGGCAATGCCCTGCCCCTTCTCCCTGAATGGTTGGGGGATGGTAACCACCTTTCCTAGGGGCTGAGACCCTCTAGTGATGCCAGGCCAAGGGAATGTGGCTATGCTGACTAAGGGTAGCTTGAGTTGAGTGGTGAAGAGGAATCAGATTCATGCCTGCAGTGGACAGGGGGACAGGGCAGTATGTATGACTGGACCTGCCTGAGACTAGTTGGAAATCATTCTGTGCCCCTCCTGGGCCCTAATCTTGGAGAATGGGGATGAGAACAGGAAGAAGTGATGGAGAGGACACTTGGCCACTACTTACCACGGAATGGACTTTTTCCACAGGAGCCGACATGTGTGCAGACCCGCCTGAAGCTGTACACACAGGGCTTGCGGGGCAGCCTCACCAGGCTCAAGGGCCCCTTAACCATGATGGCCAGCTACTATGAGCAGCACTGTCCCCGTACCCTGGTGAGTGTCCATGCCTGGGCTCCAAGCAGAAAAGTCTCATCTAGGAATTGGTAGGGAGAGACCTTTGGGTGTGGCTGTTCAGGATCCCAAAGGGTTTCTGAGTCAACTGATCTGTAACGATTAGACCCTCCAGAGAGGGAGCAGCCCAGCTCATTTTCAACTCTAGGAGCTAAGGCATAGAACTCTGAAGCTGGCAGGGCTCCCTAGTGGGAGCTGCTCTGTTCTTGCCCTTGTTGTCATTAATGAGGTCAGAGGTGAGGCAAACCCAAGGAAACGCAGGGCTCGCCTAAGATAAAGAGGAAGTTCCTGGGCACAAGTGCCACCTCCTGGCAAGACTTTCCCTTGGCCCTTCAAGGGGCTCCTGGATTGCATGGAAGCAGGAAGGGAGGCATATCCGGAATGTAAAAAGGTCCCAAACACTCCTTTCCTGTGAAAAGTGAGTGAAGCTTGTGGCCATAACTCCTACCCTGTCCTTTCTGGGCTTTCAGAGCCAACCTTAGCAGCCAAGTTGCTCTGTGCTGGCCTGGGACCAAAGAGTCAGCGGCCTAACTGCCCAGCAGACCAGCCTCAGGCTGGCACTTTGTCAGGTCCCTGGCCCCAGCTGCCACTGGTAGAGCTGTGCACCCTTTGGATAACACATAGGTGGCAACATGTAACCTGACCCAGGTCAGCAGGTGGACCCCAGATGGCCTTCTGGCCTCTGAGTTCCAAGAGGCAGCACATAAGCAAGCTAGTGATGCCCCCACATTACCTACTTGTGTCTAGACTCAAGTTTTCTTTTTCTTTTTTCTTTTCTTTTGCTTTAAGGAAACTTCCTGTGCAACCCAGATTATCACCTTGAAGAATTTCAAGAAGAACCTGCATGACTTTCTACTTAACATCCCCTTTGACTGCTGGGAGCAAGTGCAGAAGTGAGGCAGACCAGTTCCAGAGCTAGCCCTGGGAGCTTACCTCACAGACCACTGCCCTCCCACCCACAAGGAGCCCAAGAAAACTCAGCGCTTGCCTAAGATCTTCACCTTAGAGGGACCACAGGGTGGACCTGTGCCACGGGGGCCACAGATTTGCTCTGAGCCATGCTGACCCATACGGGTGTGCTAGAAGGGAGGAAATTTTTACATCGGCAGGGACCAGTAATATTTATTTATATATTTATGTATTTAAATATTTATTTATTTATTTAAGTTCACACTTAATATTTATTACAGATATTTTATCATAATAATAAATTATTACAAATCTGTTCTTATTTGTGTAGTGTTGCAGTTGTTTTCATCATAAGCAAATGCTAGAGGTGCTCTCCTCCCCACAGGGCAGGGAGGGGAGGAAGCAGGGAGGTGGGGGAAGGGGCAGGGGCACTGTGAGAGGGGCAGTGCTATTGAGCAGAGGGGAGGGGAGAGCTGGCCTGGGCACAGCGTTTTGCATACCCGGATGTGCTTCCTGGAATGCTCAAGGCTCCCACCCCAGAGGGAGGTTTCCAAGTTCACTTAGAAATCCAAGGGACCCAGCCAGCCAGTGGGAAACCTGCTCCAGAGAAGGGGCATCATCCTTCCCAGGGAGGCCTGGGGTTTGCTCGAGCTTGGCTGGTCGCTGGTTGAGTAGGTACCCCCTAAGGTCAGACGAAGCACCAATGCCCCTCAGAGACTACACCCTGCCCCTCAAGCTCAGGGCTCCGACCACTCCTAAGATGAATCAGCAGATGGACTAGCCAGCTGTTCAGGGGGAAAAACCAAACCACAGGGGTCAGAACTCAGCATATTTACCAAACATTCCCCAAAATGGGTGATCTTAATCTTGAGAGTCAGAATGTAAATTCATAATTTGTTGGTACATGGCTATAGTGTGGCATTTTTCTGAGCTGGTTTTGTTTTCACATGAAGTTTTGCATCCATACATCTCCTAAATTCATAGCCTTTGGGATGAGAGCATAGCAGCTCTCCTCCCTCTCCCTGCTTTGCCAACAGTGCTGGAGGCCTTGTTCCTGAACCTGTCCTCCCTCCCTGCATATCCCTCCTGGGGACTGTGAAGAAGTGGGTATGTCTCCAGGTGTCAGGCAGGCAGTGGGGTAGGGGGAGTCTTCTTCCTAACAGGTAGGCCCTACTGGCTCTCCCTCCATCTCACCTGCTCTCTCTGGACAGCACCAATCCTGGCCAAAGACCTGTCCCACATGCTGGCAGAAAGGTCAGGACTCTGCAATGTGAGTATGAAATAAAATCTCAGAGACCACGCCTGAGTTTCAACAAAGACAAGAATCCATGAAGTGTACTGTGGTCATAGAAAATGCATGAAAAGCACATCTCACCCAGCGATAAGGTCCCCTCTATCTCCCACGTAAGTTGGTGATGACTTGATAAGAGAGTTAGCGTTTCCTTAGACTCACATATATAGGTACCCCCTCCTCACAGAAATGCTGCCAAGCCCAGGGCTCGGATCAGCTTGGAGCCACTCTTAAGTCATACCATGTACCTGTATATACTCCTGGCTTGTGTGCTCTGGGGCTTGGAGAGCCATTCTGCCCTGATGAAGACAACCAGCGAGTCTCTCTATGACAATCACACAGCGGTCTGTGCTGAGATTCAGCATGAACTTACATCTGACAACATTACATACAAGGTAAGTCTGGATTTTCATTAAACATCACTTGGCTCTCAGTGGCCCTTTGTGTTTCTGACCAACTTTTCCTGCTTCCAGGGTTCCTTTGAAAGGCCCCAGAACACCAGTAAGGTAAGCAGCAGTCACCACATGGACCTTTCTGACCACATTTCAAAGGGATAACCCCAGTTGGCACCTAGGGCAGATATGCAAACAAAAGATATTGGAGAGGGAAATCTGGGGAGAAAGCTGAGAGTTTGAGGATGGTGCCTCCCACCCAGTCAACAGATGAAGCAATGGTCAGGTCCTGGGCTTTGCTGGGCTCTCTGCTCACCATCCTAGGTCGGCCCTGGGTCTGAGGAGAGACCAGACACCAGCTGCACAGCTTGCAGTGCCCACGCCTCTCCTGTAGGAGAATTAGGGTAGGGCCTGAATGTGAGTCCAGGGCTCCATCTGGCCAAAGTGACTAGGGATGGATGAGGCTAGGGGTCAGCTGGTGCTCTGCTGTGCACCACCAACATCCTAGTGCCCCTAACCCTGTTTCAGGAGTCATGCTATGGAGAATTTATAAAGGACTTCATCTCCACCTTGAACAAACTTCTTACAAAATATGACGATAATCACCTACGAAAGGTTTATAAGAACATGAAGGAACTCCCCCAAATTTGCACAAAGCTACAGGTAAGTTGCTGTTTGTTCTTAGGGGAACCTGGGACATCATTTTTCTTATTATCATAAACAGAGGCCCAGCAGGGCAAAGGGCATCTTATGGCCCCCACTTGCCACATGTGAAGCCTGTGGTACTACTTTCCAATCCAAAAGAAGCCCACTTGCAGACAGGAGCTAGGACTTAGGGGAGTGAGAGCTCAGAGGTCATGCTGAAGGTTTCTGTCATGCCCTCTGCCAAGCCCCCAACACAAGGGTCAGTGTGAAGCAGGTCTGAGATGAGTCAGAGCAGGTCTTGTCATAGACTCAGCCTGGGGAGAGGGAAGTGCCACTCAGTGCTAACCCAGATTGGGCAGCCAGTCCAAGCTGGCTCTGGTTTGCCCTGCCCTTAGGGCCCCTTCTGGGCAATGTGGAGATAGGCAGTGGTTTGCGGGGGCATGTTGTAGGAAAACATGACTGAGGTGCTCCTCTCTCTTTGCCCACTGCTTGCATAGTCAGTCCCCTGCGTGCTCTCATCCTGCTCATCCTCATGTTCCTGTCCTGGGCAGCTGTGGGACCTGCCCACATGCTGCTGGCTTTCTCCCCAGGGCCATGGATGGACCTCAGACAGCTGGCCTCCAATGCCCTCCCTAAGACAGATGGGGAGGGCCTGCTGAGTTACCCCCTAGGGGATGGGAGGGTTACTATGTGACCCTTTTGGCTGGGAGAACAGAGTTTGCTTTTATTTTTTTTCTGCTGAGAAGATAAATATATATTTTTTATTTAGCCAACAGAATCACCTAAGAACTGTACTACTGAGATAAGTAATTTCTCACAGTTCAAGGAAGCCTTACAGAATGTTGTCATAGCTATAGAAGGATGGAAATCATGTAAAAAGACCTAGGACAGCCTCTGAGACTCTGTCCTCCCATGGGAGCCTGGTGCACGTGGTTAGAGCTGCAGAAAATGGGATTGAAGGAGCATCAGGAACAACTTACATCGGGGATGGGTGGGAGCTTGCTGGCCCTCGGTGGGCAGACAAGGCTGCAAGTGGGAAATGGAGGGGATGTGCCTGAAGAAATATTTCTGTAACTGATACATCAACACCACTGCCTTAATAAAGCTGGGGTATGGGAATACTGGTGAGTGGGAGTCATGATACAGTCCAGTCTCCTTGGGGCTTGGAGAGATTGGAAGGGGAAGGGAGGTGGGGTTGATGGTAACATAACCAGAGCTCCAGACCTGGAGGGCCAGGGGTCTCTCAGAAGGAGGGGCCTAGGAGGGTGAGTGGGAAGCCCACCTTATCTGCCCCTGCACTACACCTCCAGTGCTGTGAACACACAGTAGGAGCTCCATCAATGTCTGTGTAGCTTGTTGCTGCCTCACTTGTCCCTGTGTCCCTCAGATCCTTTCCTAGACTGCCTTGCCCAACCTCGGTCAGCACCCATCCACCCCCAGACCCAAAGGCCAAGCCTCAATACTCAAGGTCCTCCCTCCTTTGGTCTTTACTACAGCTCCTAGGGAGCTCTAAGTTTAATTCACCTCATTGCCCACATTGAGGGTTCAGTATGGCCACAGAAAGGTCAGCTCTGGTTAATGGCTCAGGGGAACTGGGGCCTTCACGCTACTAACAGAGGACTGAGCACAGTGGGGGACCTGAACAAGGTAGGGCCCACAAGGGCAACGGACAGCTCCAAACCCCCAGCTTCTTCTAGACCAGCAAAGAGCTATCTGGCTTCAAAGTAAAGTCCCTCATCTGGCCTGCAAAACTCCTCACAACACACTCCAGTGTCTCCTTGGCATAACGGCCCCCTCCCTGACTATTAATTTCCGAACCCCTGGAGCACAAGGCCCTGCGCATGGGGGATCCACCAGCTACTTGGGCCCTGAAGAGCTGTCAGACCAGGCTACTGAGCTCTGACCCATTATTCTCAATTCTAACTCTAATCAACTGAACGGTTTATTGGAGGTGAGTGGGATTGTCCCACAATCCAAACAGCTTCCTACTATGGTTTAAACCTCTCAGACCATGAGCTTCTTCACCAAATCAAGAAAGGTAAAAATCTATTGTTCTGGAATATAACTAGGTATCAAGCTGTAACCACAACTTGGCCCAGGCCAGACCTGCAGTCTGCAACATCTACCCACTGACAGACCTTGCCAAGCTGTAAAGCCTCAGTCTGTGCCTGCAGCCAGTGTACAGACCCACCACAGTCCTACCCATCCCCACCCCTTGCTCTATGATTCCTAGGCTACCCCACCTCTAGGGGCCACATCAGGCTAGAGGTCAGCAAGTATGACTGAGAAAAGCTGTCAAATTATCTCAGAACACGGAGGGTGGACCTGTGACTTGGGTTTGGGTGTCAGGGCTAGTATGGGGCCAGGGGTCAAGGGCGGTTTCAGCCCTAAGAAAGACCCCAGTCGAGTCCCCAAGGGCAGTGAGCTCCTGTCCCTTGGGCACACCACACAGGTGCTCAGGGTTCTGAAGATCACTCTTCTGTGACAGGCAGTAGAGTCTGAGGGGTGCATGGCAGGACAGGGTCGCTCAGACCCACCACTTCACTGACCCAGTTTCCTCTTAACTTGAGGCACCTAACAGTAGAAGGTTGGGGGCTTGCATGTACATCCTTGTCATCTCACTGCTGTGTTCGGAACAGCAGAGGATGTATAAGCCTAGCCTACCAGTAGCTTGCTGTGTGACCTTGAACAGGTGCCTCAGTCTCTCAGCCAGAGTCCATAAAGGTGAGGTAGACTCTAGCCCCTGAGGCCAGACCACAGCCTAAGTTCAGGGTCTTTGTCAAGCTAGAAGGCCTCAGGGCATCTAGCTCAACTCTAGGGAAACTGAGGTTGACAGAGAGCCTCTGGTGCCTCTCCTAGAAAACA